GTAATAGCCAGGCTGGCACACGCATCTGTACCTGTCCAAGATGGAGCCGTCTCTTTCATCCGATATGCACTATGGGGGGAGGGAATACGCAGCTCAGAACATGACAACCACATGACTACCACATGACTACCACATGCTAGTGCCAATACACTATAAAACTACTTGGCATTTGTGTACATGCCTTTTTTTTTTCTTTTATCCCCTAGCATTTCACATACGTGGGCTAATAAAACCCCCCTATGTGATAGCAAAATATGTGACAGGTCCTCTTTATGGAGACATCAGGGGTCTTCAAGACCCCCAATATAGGACCCCCCAAAAGAAACTGATGAAGCACAGATCTGCTCCATCAGCTTATTTGCAGCTTTTGAAGCTGGAGAGTGACACAAGAATGCGGAAGTGATGTAATATACAACACTTCCGCATTCTTACAGAGGAGAAATTTTGACAGTCTGTAGGCCAAAATCTTTTTTTAAATGTTTAAGTCGGAGTTAAGAAGTGCAATGAGGCGATAATTAGCGCAGGGTTTAATGTCTTTATTGGGTTTAGGGATGACTGTTACATGGGAATACGGAAAAGGAGGGAGGCATAGGGTCCCCGCCAAGGAAGCCATTATATAATTTAGTTAAATTAACTATAAGGATATCTTGAAACGTTTTATAATAGAGATATGTGAAGCCGCCTGGGCCCGGCGATTTGCCGTTAGGGAGGGAACGGATCACAGATTGAATTTCCTCTGCAGGTGTGTAGCTGGGTTAGTAGGGAAGAGGGGTAGAGGCAAGAGAGGCTAGCCCTGAATTAATACACCCCAATAAATATGCCAGGTTTGCAGGATGTTGGGGATATTAGTTCATAGGTGGCATTGCTGGAGCAAGACGCTTCCCCTATCCGCAGAGGGATTGACTGCACTTGTGAGGATGGGAGCAGGATGGAGGGACAGGAAAGACAAATTTTGGTGGCAGGGGATTCTATTATCAGGAGGACAGACAGAACTGGATAAGACCGAATCTAGTTGTAAACTTGTGGGTGTTACAAACCCCCGAACATAAGGGAAGAGGAGGAGGCTCGCTTACATTCCCCAAAAGAAATAGCTGGGAAACAGGGAAATGTTGTTATAATGGGTGACTTCAGTTATCCGGACATTGATTGGTCACATGGTACCGCTCATTCTATAAAGGCTGGCTGTTTTCTAAACCTGTTGTGGGACAATTTCATGGATCCGATGGTTGAGTTCCCGACCAGGAAGAATGCAATTCTGGATCTATTAATCTCTAATAATGCAGACCTAGTGATTAGGGACACATTGGGTAATAATGATCACAGGATGATTTTAATGTTGGGTACAGAAAATAGAAGTGTGTTGGTTTGACAAGAACTCTAAAATGTCATAAAGGCAAACTGCGTCATCTAGTGTATGACACTAAATGGGACAAATTATTTATAACAATGAGCACACGAGTAGTGGGATTGTTTTAAGAAAATATTGCATGTTGTGCATATCGTTGGTGCATATCGTTGGGTAACAAAAATAAAAGATTGAGAGCTAAGCCTGGATGGCTAAATAAAACGGTAAGACACACATCAAAGAAAAGAAGCTGGCATTTACAAAATACAAGATGAAGGGGACTGCATTGGCATTTCAGAGCTACAAGGAATGCAATAAGATATGTAAACATGAAATCCGGGCAGCTTAAATAGATTACTCCACAGTCTGTAAGAAGAACCCCCAAAAATTCTTCCAATATATAAATAGTGTGGCACTGCGTGGCAATGCCACAGAGTATGCTGGCAACACAGTCACCGGGACTCTCAGCCAGAGGGGCTGAGAGGTTCCAGAACGAAAATAGTTTTTCAGGGAAGAAGCTGGCCTTTCACTTTCCTCCGTTTATTTCTGGATTATAGCTGGGATCTGGATCTCTGGAGATTTTAGAGTTCTGGGTGGGATGAAATCTCCAGTCCTGTGGTCAGGTGTTGCCAGGGATCAGGTGGCTGAGAGCAGCCTCATTAAGAGCCCAGACCAGAGCTCAAGAGAGGAGTTGGTGTGGGCTGCAGGCACATGAGGGCTCCTGCTGGGAAGAGGGACAGGTTGTGTCCAGGAGTCAGATGGACTCTACCCAGAAGCCAGAGTGAAGCCAGGTGGTTGTGTGTGAGCTGGAGGCACATGGGAATCAGCCAAGGAGGCTCAGTGAGCCTGTGACACGATTAGCTGACCTGAATTTGTTCTCTCTGGAGAAGAGGCGATTAAGGGGGGACATGATCACCATGTATAAATACATAAATGGTACATATAAAGAACTTGGTGCCAAATTATTCACGTTAAGGTCACTGCAAAGGACAAGGGGGCACTCTTTGCGTCTGGAGGAAAAGAGGTTTAACCTTTGCATACGGAAAGGATTCTTCACAGAGCTGTGAAAATGTGGAACAGACTCCACCAGGAGCTTGTTCTAGCCAGCTCGGTTAATTGTTTTAAAAAACACCTGGATGTATTCCTAAATGCACAGAATATTACTGGATATTGAGTTCTTAGAGGTATATTAAGCATCTGAGATTGTTGATCCAGGGAATATCCGATTGCCTTATGGGATCAGGAAGGAATTTTTAACCATGCTTTATAGGGTTTTTTTTGCCTACCTCTGGATCAACATTGGGTAATTGTGGGCATAGTGTTCTGTTTAGGCTTTTCTTCTTTTTTTTTTCTCTCTATAGGTTGGACTCGATGGACTTGTGTCTTTTTTCAACCTGACTAACTATGTAACTATGTAAGGTATGTGTGGAAGAGTCACATGGAGTATATGTGACAATCTTGAATTGGTGACACATTGTTATATTGTCTACTTGCTGAAATATACTCACCATGCACAAAAGTGTAATTTCAACAGTTCAGTGCACGCTGACTAATTATTTGCAATGACTATAGGAATATATTGAATTTGTGTGTTTGCTTTTATTATTGTATAATATGTCCATTGGATTATCTTACAAATCATTATATGCATGTGATGGTGATTTTCCTTGGGGGGTCGGGTGCCCCGCATGGTGTTGGATATGGGGTACAGGGATCGATGGATTCTCTCCTGGGACCTCTGGACTTCTTTTCGTCTCTCTATCCCCCTGGCTTTTCACCGCTAAGTGCCCGCCCCCCGGCAGTACGCTTACCCAGCCTGACATGCGAGGGCTGACGTCCTCCTGCATGCAAACGAGGGGGTGGTCCTTAGGGATCGCTTCCCCTGTCACCTAGGTAGCGACTTGCTGGGATGGGAGGGCGCATGCATGGTTAACCGGCGCATGCGCATTTGGGAGTTCACATCGCCGATCGGCGCCCGGAACACCTGTCTCCGGTGCGTCCTATTCGGTGGTGGGGGCTACATAAGGGGAGGGGTGCCATCAGGGCTAATGTGGAGAGCGCACTATATGGAGCTGCGAGCCGAGGGCACAACACCTTATAATATTCCTAAGGCTTAGGTAATTTTCTTCCTCACGTCCATATTAGCCTGTCACACTTTGAGGCTTGGAGTTGCTGTGTTATGTTCAGTGGATGGGAGGGAAGGAGAGAGGGGTTGATTATTCATTTTTGCAGTGGTATATTGCTATAGATATGGGATGTTAACTCCCACTTGGAGGCGTAATATTTGCGGGATGGATAGGACAACATCCTTTGGTGGTGGTCACAGTCTTTTACAGTATTTTCACTTATTTTCATTACACATACTAGCAGCCATGCTGCACACATGACTGTTAATATTATCTTTACCAGCAGTATGTGTATATATAACACTTATAACATTGCTTTAACATGAATTTATTAGTATATATGTCTCACTTAGGGTCTGGGACACACATGTGTAGTCACCATGGCTTGCACCATAGGCACGTATTTATTTATGGTACACACATAAATAGCAATTGACTCACTATTAATAAAGTGGAGGAGCATTTCCCACATATATATTTTTACACTGTTTACCTATTCACACGTCAAGAATGAATCATTGCACCAGTTTATATAATACATACCTAGCTTTGTAAGACAAGACACTATCAGAACTATTGGGCCGAAAGGAATCAATTTCATAGGCCTAAACATGTCATTTTACAGAGGTGTCTATGTGCATACTAGTAGCCATTTTGTCTACGTGCTATAAGGTGAATATAAGTTCATTCTTCTCTTGGACCGAGACTTGCATAGAGAAATTAGGAATGTTAGTATAAACATTCCTCCGATCGTAAATTGTGGGGGTCTCAGAAGCACATCAGTGCTTATTGCCAGCCCTGTGCATGATGGGATAAATATCGCCCATGCGCTGTAAAAGTTTGAGTGGTGAACATCTGTGCTGAGAGAAGTCACATGTCAATTCTGAGCCTTTCGTTTTCTTATTCTGTGTGATACTGAGAAGATACCCATTATATTTAAAAAGTCGTGTTATCTTGGTTACATTTATATATTTTTTGACAATATCCAGTGGTTACATTTTTATGCATTACCTGTGTTATCAAATTGATTGATATTATCTGATCCATATTCTTTGTTTGTCACCAATTATATTTTATTATTATTTTTGCACTGATTTTTGATAAATATCTATATTTTGTATACTTTGGTATTCCTCTTGTCTTCGAAGTCAGCACAAATGAAAGAACTCGCGTAAATTTTGATTTATGGAAATGCATTGGGAATCTCCTTAACCATAGATTTTTAATTGTTTCCATAAATAGAACTGTATATCAGAGCAGTATAAACATTCTGACAACACGTCAGAGGTTATTTTTGTGGGTGGTCATGATTGCATATCATACATATGATGGTGTTTAAATGCCTTACCTCACTTAACAGATTCACTAATTAGGAAAGTAATAGCAGTAGGTATAGCTCACTCTTGCTATATGTTCTCCATAGGAACATGTTCCAGCTAGGGATTGGCTGGGTCTTACACATCGCCCAAGGCATTCCTCCCTTTGAGGCCCCGGGGACCCGGAAGTGATGACGGAGTGTGTGTGGTGGTAGGGCTGAATGTAGCCACCCATCTCATTTCGGTCCTCCTTATATCGATCCATTTCCAGGCACCTTTTGT